TTTCCATAAATAATGAATTTTTGCAAGAATTGTTTTCATTTTTTAAAATTCTAATTCTAATAATTTATAAAGTTTAAATCTTTTAAAATCATGTATTAATTAGTAGCGGTTAAGTGATATTGTTAATAAGTAAAAATTATATTTACTAATCATAAATAGAAAAGCTTACTACAATTTAGCAACCCTTAGTATTTTAAAAAGAATTTTGAATTTTGTGTGTGCGTGTATAAACGTCCGATTTTTTGTAAATACGGACACGATATTATCAGGAAATAAGAGCGATAACTATAGTAAATTAAAAATTTATTGGTAATTTCCTCGACAAGCATCTTCCTAAATAAACAAAATACCTAACATTAAATAATATTAAATTACTTAGAATATTTTCCTAAATTTTAAAGATTAATGGGTAGTTATAAATTATATGTAAAAGGCACTCACATTTATATTATGTATAGTTTTACATTTATGTCTCACGTAATAGAAATTCTTAAACATAAATCGAGAAAGTTCATAAAAACACCCACCGTGTTAAAAATGCTTTTCTGTAATATTTTAAACTAAAAGTAAGTAATATTTGTTTCAAATCAGATTAATTAATCTTTAAAGCAACTAATATTTCTCGAATAAAATATCAGAAAAGTTTTTTATAAAGTTTTTAATAAAGCGAATCATGTTGTGTTGACTGATTCGATAATATGACTGATTTTTAGTAATTTTATATATTAAAAAAGATATTCCCATCAATTTAAATTCTGTTTGAAATACAGAAATGTATTTTACTTATTGAAAATATCAAATTTAAACTGTTAGCTTGAAATTAAAACTAAAATAAAAGCTTCAAGAAAGTTTTTTCATTTTTAAAAAATGCATTTTAAACCTTAGGTACCGCCTTTCTTTGGAGGTATAAAATGGAAAAAAAATCAGATATTAATACGCGTTTCATGTTTTAAAAGGAATTAATCAGACGAATGTAATGTTCTTAATGATGGAATTATATATATGTAGAGGGAGGGGGAAAATATAAAGTTAAACGTCGATTATAATTATACACATAGGGAAACACTGAAGATGTAAGGATGCTAAATTTTAAAATTTAAAATTTCTGATCTCTGATCTATCTAGGCGCACAGCTCAGCCGATCTCATTCGGTTTTCCAACGATTTTGCTATTGTTTTTATCACTGTTCTCCGATGTTTCGGCTGGGTGATGATGATCATATCCGAGCTTACCCACAGCTTAGAGTCACAACACTTTTATGGGTATGTGAGAAGTAGCCATTAACATAGTTTTTTTTTTCATTTCAGATATAAATCGAGTTTCTTGGATTTTCTTAATGCGTGCATCATTATTCTTTTTAATCATGCTCTATGTGCTTATTCCAACTGAAATAATGTTGGTGAAATATTATTATTATTATTATTATTATTATTATTATTATTATTTCCTTTGATTTCTGGTATGTATTCATTTCTTTCCGGGCCCGCCCAGAGACCTAAGGTCAGAAATGGCATCATGACATTTTCCACTAAGCAAAAAAACAAAACAAAAAAAAAAAACACATATTTGCACAGATAAAGCCCTTGTAAGGTGTGGGCTGTACTTGTGAGAACAATTTTTTGTATTTCTTTAAAGCATGGGCTACCAGGAATCCCTTCAGGGAATCTATTAGAATCTTTTCTAATCAACCCGAGGGTTCCAACTAGAACAGGAATTATTGATGTTCTCATATGCCACATTTTTGAGATTTCGATTTCATGGTCCTTGTATTTTGATAGCTTATTGAAGATCTTCAAAGATACATTGCAGTCTGCAGGGACTGCCATATCAATAAGGAGGCACTTTTTTTTGTTTGCGATCTTTAATAACGATGTCTGTGCGATTAGCTTTGATTGGTCTGTCCCATAAAATTGTTACAGGTCCTATCTTCGTAACCTGGTCTGGGTGTTATTCATACAAATTTCTTTCAGTTTCCTTTCTGTAGAAGTTGACCCACTTTGTCATGCCGGGTTTTATATTCAGTGTCTGCCAATACCGCGCAACCTGATATAAGATGGTCAATTGTTTCTGGATAATTATCACAGAATTTGCATTTTTTCAGTATGTGTGCTTGGTAATTTCTAGTTAGCAAGCATTGGTCCTGTGCAGCAAGAATAAAGCCTTCGGTTTCAGCTTTTAACCCTGCACTACGTAACCACTGATGTGTACGAGGTTTGTCTACATCAGTTTGTTTGATACGGGCATAGTATTGACCGTGAAACAGTTTATCTTGCCACTGTTTATGTATCTGGTCGTTGCTATTTGCTTTCTTTTTTAAATATTTTGCAGCTTCAGTCGGCGTATTGTGCTTTACTTGTATTTCTTTACCCTTTTGAAATTCCATTTTGAACTTGTTTGCTTCCTTTATTACTGAATAGAGTCGCTTACTACTTTCATGTTATTTGGCACATATCGTCATCCAGTCTTCTGTAGTTTCCAGGTAACTTTGAAGGCCAATTGTTGTAGTTTTGCAAGACAATTCTAGTTGAACTAATCCCCTGCCTCCTTCAGATCTGGGCACACACAGACGATCAACATCAGCTTTGAAATGATGCATGCGGTGGCAGGTGAGAAGCTTTCTCGTTTTGGCGTCCATTCACTTAAAATCAGCTATGGTCCAGTTAAGGATGTTGAAACTGTATTGCACCACAGGGGCAGCTAATGTGTTTATGGCTGATATTCTGTTTTTGAATTCAGCTCGTTATTGAGTACCAGACGCCCACGCCTGTAGTATTCATTTTTTTACCTTCTCCTTCATTTGAATATGCTGTATTCCACCTCCTTCGCTAATTCCTAGGTACTTATAGGCTTCATCTTGTTCCAATTCCCTAATCTTTGTGACAAAATCTAAATCTGTTAAGTGTGTTTCTGCAATTCTCCCTCTCTTGAATGTTATTTTTGCACATTTATGTAATCTGAAGTCCATACCCATGTCGTCACTGAAACATTTTACAATACTGAGGAGGCCCTTGAACTCATTGTCGTTTTTGGCAAAGAGTTCGAGATCATCCATGTAGAGTTGGTGATTGAATATGTTTTTTTGTCTAGTTTGTAACCATACCTACTGTTGTTTAGTTTATGCGTAAGGGGGATCAAGGACAAACAAAAGGGGTGACAGAGAGTCTTCTTGAAAGATTCCACGTCGGTTATTCAGGCGGTTGGAGATGGCAGTGCCGCTGGTGTGATTTAGGTATACTGTGGTGTTCCACATTCCCATGCTGTGCTTAAGGAAATTTACTACCACAGAGGAAACTTTGTACATTTCCAGATTGTTAAGGATGCAAGATTGTGACACACTATCAAAGGCTTTATGATAATCAATCCACGCTGCGCTAAGATTTCTACATCGTCTCCTGCAATTTTATAGTATTGAGGAGACATTTTGCCGTCTTTGGCAATGAGTAGGATAGGTGATTAAATACTTTTTTGTTTTGTTTGTAACCATAGCTATTATTATTATTATTATTGTTGTTGCTGTTGTTGCTGTTACTGAGAGAGCAGCACGCCAACAAAGTCACGTTGGGGTACAAATATACGAAACCCAATGTATCCATCATTTCACATTTTCTGATAAGAGTATACCGGGTACATGTATCACAGCCAAATGTGCACAATATGGTGTCAGAATTTGGCAAAAATGAGCTCATTACTTTGCAGGTGGGGCCCAGTTATAAACACTTTCATTCTGCACAGACAATCTCCAACTGAGGAGATACCAAAACACCGAGATGTGACTATCAAGTCACCTTGGCTGCCTCATCGTTCAAACTTAAAAGAACAACCCCCTCGACACCCAGGCATGATACTGCCTTGCTACCCCCGCTTACGAGAATGAATGTACATTCCTTCAGCTCCTTGGGGACATGCTCAGTTGGTTAAATTCAGGCAAATGATATGCAAATCTATCTGGATAGTTACTGTGGTCCGTCTTAATTCACCAAAACAAAATGTTCAGTCTATATTTCTGAGATGTGGTATTGTAACTATTTACATTATTTATCTTGTTTGGATTCTTGTCTTCATCTTTGTCATATTCACAATGTTTCGGCTGCTGTACACACCGGCCTTCTGATATACGTTGGAATTTCGGACGGAATCTTTATTTAGTCCGCGGGGGTAGATTGTTCTCGTTCTATGTGCCATACCTTTTCTGGATATCTCGGTTTGGAGTTAATTCCCTTTAGTAACTCAACATACACAGTACAACAGCCGAAACGTCTTGAATATGACAATAAAGATGAGGACAGCAGTCCTAACGAGGTAAATAGTGTAAAACATGTTCATCTTAAGTAACACTTCCAATAAGATATGAAAGCATGAGAGCCATGGCTGCTGTAGCATCAGATCATTTATATATCATTATTATTATACATTGAATATAAACGGCCTGTTTACTATTCGTCCGTGCTGCCGTAGTTCGGAATTGTTCTGATGTGGTCTAAAAGGTTTGGCTGCCGGCAAGCAAATTGGTTCCTGTTTTGATTTTCCAACCCCTACCCCTTACACGACACATCCTCTGGTGTGACATTACTCTAAAGACCACACACAGCAGCCAGCTCTTTATCACTGCCACTCTGCCTACCAGTTCCACTAATCTTTTACAAATTGCTATGTAGTAGTTTTTCCACAACATATATAGCCCTAGTGAATGTGTTAGGCTTGTCGTTAAGTCGTTATCTTTTGCACATGTGTCTGGATAACTAGTCCTGAGCGCAGCCATTTTTAACAATTGCTTTTTATTCCTAATGTACCGATTTTTTGGTTATAAACAAATATATCTATGATTTTTTTCTGTTTGTTTTTTAGCAAATTATTCTATTGGGAAAAAGAACTTTAAATGAATAATTTAATAGTTCACGCACGCGCAAACATACACACACAATCTGTATGTGTGTGTCTGCGTGCGGACATGAGCATGATATTTGTAAAGAAATAATAATTAAAAAATATTGTGTAATAATTTAAAATTGATACTCCCCTAAGGCTTTACAGCCTTTCTGCTTTCTCATGTCTTTATGTGATGAGTAGATAAAAGAAAGAAAGAAAGAAAGAAAACAGAGGAAGGAAGCATTAATAAAGAAAGAATTAGAAGAAGAAAGCAGTGTAAAAGAAAGGAAGGAAGAAAGAAAGAGCCAGAAGAAGAAAGCAGTGTAAAAGAAAGGAAGGAAGAAAGAAAGAGCCAGAAGAAGAAAGCAGTGTAAAAGAAAGGAAGGAAGAAAGAAAGAGCCAGAAGAAGAAAGCAGTGTAAAAGAAAGGAAGGAAGAAAGAAAGAGCCAGAAGAAGAAAGCAGTGTAAAAGAAAGGAAGGAAGAAAGAAAGAGCCAGAAGAAGAAAGCAGTGTAAAAAGAAAGGAAGGAAGAAAGAAAAGAGCCAGAAGAAGAAAGCAGTGTAAAAGAAAGGAAGGAAGAAAAAAGAAAGAGCCAGAAGAAGAAAGCAGTGTAAAAGAAAGGAAGGAAGAAAGAAAGAGCCAGAAGAAGAAAGCAGTGTAAAAGAAAGGAAGGAAGAAAGAAAGAGCCAGAAGAAGAAAGCAGTGTAAAAGAAAGGAAGGAAGAAAGAAAGAGCCAGAAGAAGAAAGCAGTGTAAAAGAAAGGAAGGAAGAAAAGAAAGAGCCAGAAGAAGAAAGCAGTGTAAAAAGAAAGGAAGGAAGAAAGAAAGAGCCAGAAGAAGAAAGCAGTGTAAAAGAAAGGAAGGAAGAAAGAAAGAGCCAGAAGAAGAAAGCAGTGTAAAAGAAAGGAAGAAATAAAGGAAGAAAGAATCAGAGGAAGTAAGCACTGTCAAAGAAAGAAAGAAATCCAAAGAAGGAAGCATTGTTAAAGAAAGAAAGAATTAGACAAAATAAGAATTGTATAAAAAAGAAAGGAAGAAAAAAAACATCAGAAGGAAAGCAATATAAAAAAAAGAATGAGAGGAAGCAAGTATTGCACAGAAAAGAAAGAAATAAAGATGGCGACAATAAAAAAAGGTAACAAAATAAAAGGGAGAGAATAAACGAAACGTGCCTTACACAGACCACCTACTTTCGAAGTGGGCAGCCATTATATTCTTGCTTATCGGCTATCAATTACTGTTTAAGATGTCATATGACATCTATTGCCATTTTGTAATGTTTTCGTAAATTCTCTGCAAGTAAGGAAGCACAATGGTGTCAATATTAGTTTATAAAAGAAAGAAATTGATAAAATTTTTGCGATTTTTAGCATCGAAAACACAAAATTTTGTTAGATATTTTTTAGGAAATTGGTGCAAAAATAAATAAAATGGTGCATTTTGTTGACTCTAAAATAACTGAGATTTAAAAGAAATCTATAATTTTAATTTTTAAAAAAATTCTAAACTAACAAAGGAAAGAAAGCTGGCTTATAATTATGAAAAATAAAGAAAGGAATTGATATGTTGTTTTTATGAATTTTCATGACAAATATGAAAAAGAGGCATTAATTTGAAAGTTTTTTGTATCCCCCTAAATAAATATGGAAATACAAATACGCACAAAATATATACATGCATATGTAGTGTGTACAAATTCTTAGCTCTCCTTTTGAAAACTTATGTTAAATAAAGGCAAAGTTGAACACGGGATTTTCGATGGAAACGTTTGCATATAGCTATACGTGTGTAAGAGTATGTGTCTTCATGTGTATGTCATCATGTGTGTGTGCGTGCATGTATTCAAAATCAGCGCATAAAATGTATAAATTTTAGTATTCGGGAAACAAGTGAAATGTTTGACTCAGGTACACGTGAATACATATTATATCTATTTATTTATTCTGTCTCTAGCCATCGCTGGCAATCAGTCTAAGAGAAGAAAAACATCGATTTTCAAACTAAATGCAACGGGAAATCATTCCAATACATGCCCCAATAATGCATGGAAATTTGCAGATAATAATGAAAAAATTAAGTTGTGGACACCCATTATTGTCTACTTCCTCAACGGACCTGATATATAAAAGTAAAAATAAATAAATAAAAATGATTATTATTTGATATTTAAAAGAATTTTTCAAAATGGAAAATAAAACAATATTTTTTTAAAATCCACATTACAACCAAAAACGTTTGCGGCTTCTCTCTTCTTTTTAATATGCAAACATTTCTCTAGTTGGAACTACTATAACCTCTTCCTATATATATATATTTATCATTTCGCTGGACCAACCTTAATTGTTTTATGACCCTTCGCGCAGAACTCTTCATTGCCAATCCAAGAAGGAAATTCGGATTACCAACACACAAACAGAGAATGTCTCATATCGAGAATATTTAACATTGAACATGAGGAAAAATTAATTATTTTCAATAATATGTGGAAATCTCCACTTTTACCTGAAGACGGTCGCGAGACCAGAAACACGTGTCGTAAAATTATGCAAAACAAAGCATAATATTTTTTCTAAATAAATCCACATTACAACCAAAAACGTTAGCGGCACCTCTCTTCTCTTCTTTTTAATATACATACTTTTCTCTCGTTGGAACCACTACATTATATTTCTTTTATTTATATATATATATATATATATATATATATATATATATATATATATATATATGATATTGTAACTTGCATTATCATCATGGTTCCCCGCGATCTAATTAGTAAAGCACACCACTACTTAATGAAATGGTTTCCCCAACGGAGAAGGGGAATGGAAGTGCGATTCATATCGTGAGGCGGACTTTTCTTTAAAAGGACTTCTCCATTTCTATCCCGGTTTAATATCAAATCCACTCTTTAAAATAACAAGGTTATCAGCTCAAACACGTGTACCCACTAAAAATGATGTTACATATATATATATATATATATATATATATATATATATATGTATGTATGTATGTGTGTGTGTGTGTCTGTGTGTGTGTGTGTGTGTTTGTGTAATGTCCAATATCTAAAAAAATAATCATTTTGATTTATTTTTTATATATTTTGGTTTTCATAAACGATAATGACTATGTAGAAAAATAAAACGCAAAATAAAAAATGCCCCATATAATACATATGTGTGTGTGTGTCCGTGTATATATCTGTGTGTGTTCGTGTATCTAAGACACAACTTCATATATATATATATATATATATATATATATATATATATATATATATGAACATATATATATATATATAGGTATTGATGTGGATAAATCAAATAACTTTGACATTAGCTACCATATATACGTGTATACATATAAGCGTGCATACATAGCTAAGCGAATAAATATTTACTCAATTTAATTATAAGGTGTAAACAAAACATTTCTCAATGTTGTTAGACAGAGCTAAGAAGTATATATTAATATATATACATATACCTACGTCCGTGGTGCAACGAAACTTCATGTGTGTGTGTGCGTGTAAAATTTAACTGTTCAATAATGAACGTTATTTATCTATTATCTGCACAAATCTTTTATGCCTTTTAGAATAAGAAAATTCGTCCAAATCTTTCAAAATTGACACTAATATAGCTGTCACTATACAATCATAAGCTATGTTTTAATGAAGATGAAACTAATTGCTGTTAATGTAGTCGAATGTTTTGATCCGTCTGATGGATTGATCAGTTTTGTCAGTTTTCACACACACACATTCATTCATATATATATATATATATATATATATATATATATATATATATATATATATATATATATATATATATATATATATATATATGTATGTATATATATATATATATATATATATATATATATATATATATGGTGCGATTGATAAATTGACGTCTAAATTATGCAAAAATGATATATTTACCAAAAACACAAAAGTATCTTGAAAAACTAACGAGCAAATTTATTCAATAAAATCGCCATTGGCTTCAACCACGGCCTCCAGGCGGCTTCGGAATGTCATGCAACTCTTCTGGACGATCTTCTTGTTTAAGTTGGTGCATGCTGCCATAATCTTTGCCTTCAGTTCATCTTTGGTGTTACAAGGTGTTTTATTGGTCTCTGCGCCCCACACACAATAATCAAGGGTATTGCAGTCTGGGGAGTTAGGTGGCCGGATATAAGGGGTGATGTGGTTGCAGAAATTTTCTGACAGCTGGTTTTCCTGCTTGTGTGAAATGATGCAGAGTAATATTGCCAGACTTAGGGTCTTCCAGCAGCCACCGTCTTGACCCAGGGCAGCACTACCTCCTCAGGGCACTTGTTGTAGGCTTCCGTGTTGAGTTTGAGTCCATCACCAACAAATTCGGGAGTTCTTTTCTTATCAGAACGATCAGAGTGAGTTTTCCGAGCTGCCGTACCTTCGTAATCACCATTAGACTCATCCAACTCTTTCTTTGATTGCACTCTCTTCAGATTGACACCCAAAACACTCTGAAATGTTCGGATTGGAGCTTCTAACCCGAATGCCAAGCAGTACAGTATGCCGTTTCCAAATTTCTGGCGGAGTGAATGGTGCACTATTTCTCACAGACGGTGCCCTAATACATAATGCAATCGACGAAATAGCAAAACAAACAACGCGCATGTGCGAAATTAAAAATATAAAATGGCGACAATTTACCCATTGCACCCTGTATATACATGTTCTTTATATAATTTATTTATTTTAATTTTAAATAAAATAAATGATTATGTGTGTGTGTGTGTGTGTGTGTGTGTTTGTGCGAGCGTGCTAAAATTTGGATCATAAAATCTGCCGCCTGATACATAGTCATTCACTGAATTTGGATCTGCACATTTGACGGTATAATGTTCGGTTTATGTGGTTAACACTCACGACAGTGTTTTGGAATGTGATCAAACAGAAAAATAAATATTTGTTATATAATATAAATGCTTTTTTGGCATATTTTTCATTAGACTGAGGATTTATCGATGTGCCTTCATTTACACCATGATCCGAGAGGTATATATGCATATATATATATATATATATATATATATATATATATATATATATATATATATATATACAAGTATTCGTGTGTGTGTATACATATATATATATATATATATATATATATATATATATATATATATATATATATATATAAGTATTCGAATGTGTGTGCATATATATATATATATATATATGTATATATATATATATATATATATATATATATGTATATATGTAAGTATTCGTGTGTGTGTATATATATATGTATATATATATATATATACACACATATATATATATGTAATTATTCGAATGTGTGTGTATCTATATATATATATATATGTATGTAAGTATTCGTGTGTATGTGTGTATGCATGTGTACGTTCGTGCGAGTGTGTGCGCGGCACGCACTCGCATATGTGTCTGTTTTGCGGAAAATATTGTTTTGACGTAGCAAAACACTGCTTTTCGAAATATTATTAATTCCATATTTTCGACTAAGTTAACTTCAGGCATTTATTATATATCTGTCTTGAAAATACAGATTTATTTGCAAATCTGATAAAAGTTCAGAACAGATTTCAAATCGTACTTTTGTGAATAAAAGTGTCTTTTTTGTTTCTAGTTTAATATCTCCCAATATACTAAACACACAAATGATTCATTTTGAATTTGAATGAGGATATTTTCAATTTTTAAATATGCCGATAACTTCTTTTTAGATAGGCATTTATTTATTTTTGACTAATGTAGAAGGATTTAATTTTTTAAATTTAAGATGTTAATAATAAAAACATATTTATCTTTTAAAATCTTAATCTATTAATAAATACTTTGAAAATTCTTTCATTAAATGTTTAAGGTTTTTATAAACTTTGTTACGCTTTAATCTTTTTCCAAGTGCTAAATATTTATTTTTATTAATTTTGTTCAA